TTGTTTTATCAAGTTATTCTGCCAGTTTTCTTTTTTTTCTTGATTCTTTACTAGAATTCTCTAATACTCTTTTGAAACCTCTTTCCTCTTGGTAAATTTCATAGGTAATCCTTTCTTTTCTTAGATAAGCTTCCAGTTTCTGAGTATCATTTATCTTGAAAATGTAAGGAGCAATTTTTTCACCTTGTTCTTTCTTCAAAATACTTCTAATGGTACTGTAATTCTTGGGTTCCATGGTAGATTTGATGTAAATAAGTTTCATATTAATTATTTTATATAGGGGTAGTTCTATATATCACTTAACAAATGGGACATTATAAAACTGATCACATTAGAACAATTATGATACTAGAAACAATTTTGATCCCTGAAATTCTTGGTAATATAAATGTTCACTTTGTCTGGTTTTGTTGCAGCATGCCCCATATGCCAAATAAATAAATGCAATGGAATGAATAGAAAATTATTTTTTTATGCAATTTGTTTATTACCTTGCCCTTTACCAAATTCTACTAACGCATCTTGTAGTTTTTTCACCTGGTCTTCCCAACTGTCTCTCCTTTTTTCTCTAAAGATTTTATTTCATTTAAATTTGATTTAGATCATAATTATTATAGCATGATATAGTACTAAGACCTTATTCGGTAATTAACGGATTACCGGGTTAACGTAATAGCAATAGTAAGAAATTTTGCATAATATAATAAGGAAATTCCTATATACAGAAAGGTTCTGTATATTTCATAAAAGGATGTTAAACAAACCCTGAAATTCTTGGTAATACAAATGTTAAAAACTATTTTAATAAATAATAATAATAATAATGACAAACTTCTTACCTTCAGATTGTATACATGCTGTAGTAAATTTTCTTGGCGATAATAAAGCTTCTTTACATTCATGTTTATTAATAAACAAATTATGGTGTATTACTATAGTAGAAAAGTTGTGGAGTAAACCTTTTCTTCTAACAAGATTAGACAGATCTGCAAAGTTAGTTGAAACATATTTATCATGTATAAATGTGAAGGAACTTAATGCTAAGGAAGGAAAATTTTTTAAAAAGTACAAAAGGCATTTCTTCAAGAAGAAACCAGCCACTTTTAATTATCCTCAATATTTAAGGTCCCTCAACTACTTGGACATTTACAACTCTGTTGAACATTGGGCGAATGGTAGATTCTCAGTTAATGACTGGCTACTGGTTACAAATGTCTTATGTAAAGTATTTATGAACAGATCGTCTGTTTTTCTTAATTTATCAATTGAAACAGGTCAGATGACACTTTTAGCACCAAAAATTTCAACTATGTTTTGTCCTAAGGCTAACAACAACAACAACAACAGTCCGTTTTCGTTGATTAGAGAATTTTGTTGTTATGGTAAATTTCAAAAAGACAATATTTATAAAGAGATGGCCAAAACTTGTCGTAGAATCGAAGTACTAATAGTCAATGGTTCAGATAAAGATCGTGGAAATAATTCTGATCAAGAAGAAATAAAAAACCTAATTACGTTAATTACTAACCAAAAGGCATTACGAAAGCTTGAATTTCATGATTTTTATGTGCATGACAATTCTATTGTTTCTGCTTTAGGCAAACATTCGCAAACTTTGGCTTGTTTAGTTTTCCATTCTGTTACATTTGTGTTTAATAAAATGGATAAGTTAGAAGGAATAACAGATTTGGAGAATTTACAGCACTTGGCGTTTAATGGCTGTAAAAATGTAGATGAAAAGTTATTGGAACCGTTGCATGTCAAACAGTTTCCGAAACTAACAGAACTTGATTTCAGGCATACACGTCCACCACCTTCATCCATGAATACATTGATTAACAATTATGGTCATGTGTTACAAAAATTATATTTAGGAACTTTACAATATCAAAATCAAACAGATTCTTGCATACAAGTTGTCCGTAATATTACCAAAAAATGCACAAAAAACTTGGAGGAATTTTCGATAACTTTTACAAATCATTTATTAGATTGTTTTCTTTATCTATTGGAATCGTGTACAAGACTCAAAAAATTAATTATAACCGGATCTTTTGAGTATACTTACGATTCGCTTTCACTTATTGGAGCCAGCATACCGGATAGTCTAAAATCATTGATAATTAGCACAGAGTGGGATAGTGAACTTGAAAATTTGGAGGAGTTCTTTGCAAAATGTGAAGCTGGATTAGAATATCTGTTCATTGAAAGATTACCGTATATAACTGATAAACATATTGATGTTATAATGAAGCATCAGGGAAATACGCTAAAGACGTTGAAAATCCTGGCATCTGAAATAAATATTTCTGATGATGTAATGGAACGAGCCAAAAAAAATATAGGAGCTGTCAAAATTAGAACAAATGACACTTTATTATATGAAGATTTTGATATTCTTTCAAATCGTGAGCTGACAGGAATACCATGGAAGGAAAACTGGTACGAGATTATTAATGGATTTGAATGGGGACCAGATGAAGAAATATTCTTTGATTATAATGACGACGATTATGATTATTACAATTATGAATACGATTATGAATACGATTATGATTACGATTACAAATATCATTTCGATTATGATTATGCACATGATAACGATTATGATAATACCATTTGGGATTTGTATGATTGGTACTAAATTAATGTCTAAAAGATAACATGTACATTATTTCTGAACCCTGCTGTTTTTATATTTTAATCATTAATTTGTTTGTATATTATTTGCAATCTAATCATTATTATATTTTATATTTTATATACTGTATATATGTATATATTATATATAAATACACAATAAATTATAATTTATCAAAGACTCTCATTGCCATTTCAAATACCACAAAAGTAGATGCATTAACAGGACCAGCACGTAGAATAAAACCTTCATTAATTCCGATAACTACATTCCATATCCTAAATAATATTTGATATTTTGTTAAATTATTAATGAAAGTTCCATCAACATTACAACAACCAACCATGCATGATACAAACCTGATGCTGCGCCGTATAAACACGATTTCCAACTTTCAATCTCGCTGCGTTTCTTTTGTCCTTTTGACATTGCATTTTGAAATAGCTACTCACAAATATGAAAGTATGCACCATACCTTGAAATTCTCGAATCACTGTGATGGTTTGTCCTTTATATATTCCTCTAATGCCATACGAAGAGTATATCTGCTTTATTAGTAGTGGGTGTGATTTGAACCTGAAATCCTATTTTTGAGACTTTTATGAACTGGGGCATACTGTAACAAAATCAGACAAGTGAACATTGGTATTGCCAGAATTACAGGGATAAATATGTTTGTCTAACATCATAGCTGTATTACCAATGTAATATTTGTCTTTTGCTTAGGATTTATAACTGTACTAATTGAATGCACAGAACAAAAAAGAATTGCATTACAGAATCGAAAATCTCTATTGATTGAAAATCGCTTTTTATTAATCCATTGGTATTATTATTAATTAAATCATTAGCCGTTAAAGTATGAATGTTTTGCAAATCTACTCAATAAATAAAATAAAGTTTTTATACATTTAAATTTTGCAGTAAGAGAATTTAAAAGAAAAATAAAAAAAATAGGTGATAATAATAATAGTTGTATACTAACTGAAGAATGTATATAGTAAAATAATATCATATAATTGACCTAATGAAACTATCGATTGCAATGTATATCTTTGATGACCAATTTTTATTGAAATAAGCAAAATGCCCTTCAAGGAACAATGAATAAATCCACATATGATAAGCCAAGAACATGATGAGCAATGATCTTATTATGTATCAGCATGAAGTGATTCCTTTAAGTTTATTTCATAATCAAATTTCACATGACTAATTATTAGTTGAATGTCATTCATTTCTTGTTAACCTTGAAATTGAATTTACAAAAAAAGGATGAATGGATGCAGAGGAACTTGATTTTTAGTCAAGATGTAATCAAGTCGGTTTTTCAGAGCTTCACCAAATAGTAGTAAGATCTAATTTCTTATGAATGGCATGACCTTCTGCATTACAAATTCCCTGATACAAATGTAATTCATTGACAGAATTTGACATGGTGATTCATTTTCAGGTGTTGATGATGTTGATGTTAGTGATGAATTATTCAATAAAGGTGCTGATGGTGGTGATGGATTATCATTATTTAATTCATTTAGGAACTTTTGAACACCTGATTCCTTCTTTGTCGTTGTTGTTTTGATGTATGATTTTGTTACAAAGAAGGAGGTTCAATCCTTTCTTAGTCATCTTGATTCAAATGTCAATAATATGGGCATGCCGCAACAAAGCCAGTCAAAGTGAACATTGGTATTACCAAGAATTTCAGGGATCAAGCATGCTTATTTAAACTCACAATTGTATTACAATGTTAATGTCACCCAATTCAAGGATTGTCATTCTCAAAACGTGAAGTTCAACCTTTTGACAGAGGAGTCTGGGTGATTGGGTGGTTAAGGCCCTGATTTTTCACCTTAATTTTAATTAGTAAAATTGGGCCATGGTTATCGGTTAGAGGTTTAACCTAGAGATCAACAGTCTCAAATGGTGAGGTTGAACCTTAATGTTGATCCTTGGATTAGCTGGTTAATGTGATTGTCTAGACAAAAATAGTTAATTGCATAATAAAACATTAGGGAGAGACCAATATATTGGTACAGTGGTTTAATTTTTAATTTTACACTACTACTGGTATCATACATGTTAGCCAAAATTGTTTTTGCATTTGCCAAACATTTTGGCAACACTTCTCCATATTCTTTATATCAATGGCCATAAAAAAATTACCCAATTTTTGCTATTATATCAAAGAGTTCAAATTATTTTGGATATAATTTTGGCCACTATTAAAGTTAATTTTGGCCACTATTAAAGTTAATTTTGGCTACTATGAAAGACTATTTTGGCATTTTGAATTTGGTGATGATCATTTACTAATGTTACCGGAATTAGATTCTGACGAAGATACACTCCCTGGACAAAAGTTTCGGTCACTACAAAATAATTAATTACGCAAAAACGTACATAATAAAACACAAATAAATTTCATCAAATTGTGACCAAAGTTTGCAAGAATATGTATGCAAAATTTCAAATTTTTGTAATGTTTGGGAGAATAACAGTTAAAAAAAATAAAAAGTTCAACCAAAAATCTTCTGAAAAATTGTAGTTTGCCAAAAAAAAACAGTTTCTCAGAAACTTACATAATAACCACACCTGAAATCGTGACATATGAAAGATTAGATTCTGAAAAATTACGTCATATGTTTTTTATACAAGTTTTTTTGTAAAAAATTGTTTTGAAATTTTTGAAATTTTTGATAAAATTAAAAAATGTCAAAGCAAAAATTGTCAAAAATTGGATTGAAAC